TATATGTATATTAACAAGGTTCGACTTGGAAGCGGAATATACCTGTTTGGTTCCACAAACTCGTAACGTTAGCTGCCTTAGGCGATTCTTGTTTCTGAAACGGGTTTTGCTTATCGAAAATTGACTTCTTCGACACAACCTCTTGCTCTGGCACTCTTACGGGAAAGGACGATGGTCTCTCGAAGATGCTTTGCTGTTTGGGTGCACAACGTTTGGTCGAAATATAGTCATTAGTATCGTTAAGAGCGGCTTCTGTCCATGGATCGAGGGTTTTAAAGACGCCTTTAGCAACAAACTCTGCAACCGTTGCCATTACATCGTCGCTGTCTGCGAAACATCGGCTAAAATCTTCATCTAATGTCTTCATTGCTTCGTCCATTTGTCGTTGTTGGTCGACGATACGCTTACTTTCGGGCGCACATGACGGACAGCCTTCATTGTTGTCGGCAAAATTTTCGAAACAGTTTACATGGAATGAGTGACCACATAAAAAGTGGACACTTGGGAGCTCAAGCTCGATTTTACATCCTGAGCACATGCTCTCCTGGAACACGTGAGGCCTGTGCTTTATGTTATCCATCTGCTCACGAATTTGCTCGGTTTCCTTTTTGAGTTGTTTTATTGTTTGCTCACAAGTGCGAATTTTGTCTGCATAAGCAGAAAGTTGCCTCACTAAGAATTTCTTCAAAAGGGACAAAGTTGCAGTCTTTGAACGGGCTGCTATTGATACAACGAAGATAGCAGGCAAAAGAGCGTGTTGCTCAATGTGTTCTAAAACGCTCATGAAATATTGCTCCGTACTAGCGTGCTCAGCATAAGCGAGCACAAGTAAAGCATGTAGCCACAGACTTGGGTCAGTGTCCCCAAAACGGCTACACACCTCAATGACACTAGCAAAGTCCTGTTTATCTGTATAAAATGACAAAATCTGATGGTATAGCTCAGCCTTCTCATAGAGATGTAAAATGCCCGCCTTGAAATTGTTGATCTGGCAGAGGCCTAAGGCTAAATCGGTGTCGTAGCAGTTCTTTTTTTCTCGCAAAAAGCACATTATCTCAATTTCCTTCGTAGTGCGTTGAGAAGGTTGAGTTTCGGCCACATATTCCTGCAGCTCGAGTTCGAGCAGTGTGTTATAGATAATCGGTGACAGCCGACCTACCTTGTCACCCAATTCTGCAATAATTTGTCGCAGGAAGCCTTTTAATAGACGGGGCTTATTCACGAAGATGTGAATGAATTTTTCAGCAGGAGATTTCTTTCCTTCAAAATTTGTACATAGCCGAGATAACAAACTCGTCGTACGATCTGGGCTATGATCCATGAGAACTTTACCGTATTTTTCCATGTTTTCTTCAGCCTTTTCAAATGGTAACCGCTCAATATAGTAAATGGCGTCATCAAAATTACCAAGGTTCTCAAGTAGGATCTTGAGGTAATAGTCTGTGAGCTGGTGCTTTCCAGCAAGATACAAAGCCTCCTTGTAGAGTTCACTCCCACGGCATACCTTGATGGCAATTTCAACGTCGAACTGCAAATCCGACGTCTGAATGAAAGAAAGAAATAAGAACAAATTAATTATTTCAATGAGGACAACATCTTTCAACGTTATAAATGCACCCTCAAAAAGATCAAGGTAGTGAAATTACTATGAAAAATTCCTAGTTCTCTAGATTATAATTATTAAACGTCTAGTAAAATTTGCCTTAAAATCCAGCGCTTCTTGAGCATTTTCAAAGGTTTAAAATCAAGATTTATACGGACTTTTAACTCAGCTACTCTGTTTTTACTGGAGATGTCAGCTATCCATAAAAATAGTCAAGAAGTTTGTAGAGTATGAGTTTGGTGGCTCTTTCTGAAGGTGCATATCAAGATATGGCTTATTATTGCAGAAAATCTATGGTGTTCAAAAAGTATATATTTTGAAGTGCTTTGTATTGCGTGAATTATTTCTCCTCGTAAACCAAACATTGAGGTTAATACAAGTACCGTCCTTAGTAGCATTTTTTGCACAGGTTTTGAAGAAAATTTAATGAGATGTGGCATTGATAACTAAAAATATGAGAAGACTACATATTCTTTTCAAATAAGTTTTCTGATACAAAACTTAGCTATTTTACTAATATATTGACTCTGAAATCGCTCATAATCCTACTCTACGCATACAACGCATGTAGAGCACATCTATTTATTTAAGAATTTCACTTTTTTTTTGCGTAACTATTCTTTACAACGACATCTTCGTAAACACGTAATTTTTCACATCTTTTCGAAGCTGAAATTGCTGAATGTTGTTATAATTCTATTTCTACCCAGGCGTGAAAAGTATACAACATGCTCTATAATGTTAATACCCACTAAAGTTAATGGGCAGATAGCATAGGTAATAAATGAAAAACAGGATAAACTTCTTTTGTGAAGCTTAAATCAATATATTTAATCAGTATATATCTTATGTATCAGAAATAATATATCGTAGTTTTCGCACAGTTTTCTAATAAGCAATCAGGTGCCTATCTTAAGCACCACAGTATAATCTTGTACATAAAGTTAACAAGACAACTGAGTGGTTTAATGTTGGCAATAATAATCTAATCACAGTAGAAAACAATAATGTAACTCACTTTTATGAACTCGCTGAGAGTATCAATCTGGTTGATATTTGTGTAGCAGTTGAGGAGTAAGGTTGTATGATCCTCGCGAGCAAGACCTGACTTGTGTAGCTCCTGAAGGTACTCCGTAAGCTGTTTAATCTTCTGAGCGTCAAGCAGCTTTCGAATAACGTATGATTCTTCTAGCTTTCCAATGGTTTTAACGTACTGAGCCACGGCGCCATCATGATCTCCTTTGCTGAAGATGCGTAGTATGCATATTGGTTGTTAAACAAAAACATAAACAAATTATGATATTTTGTACCGGAACCGTTGTGGCATTGTTCAGAAAAACAGAATAAAAATAGAATATATAAGTATATATATTGAAAAGATTACAGGATACAGTCTGGAAAATATTTATGTTGCAGTTGACGCATCCTCCGCATAAACTATAAACCTACTTTCTTTATAACTTAATAGGAAACCGACTTTTATTTTTATCTCTGGACCTACACGTTTGCCCGCTGTAAGTCTACTTTTGCATCACTCAGATTACACGTTAAGAAATGGGCCATTAAGCCCATCGTCAGATAAATGCGACTCGCAATATTAAAGATATTAAAATTAGGTTGTAAAAAAATTAAGGCCGGTTGTTTTGCCTAGCAAAAAACGTGGCATTTCATTCGTGTCTTAGCAATCAATTTACTCAGTTTTTTTTGCCTGGGGTTTTCAAGTCTGATACTAAAAAACTTATGCAGTCAATTTTAATATGCTGTTACGAATTTATTATTTGCCAGTGATCGGAAAAGTGGTAAATCGTCAGAGAGAAGTCTGGAGAACATGGTGGCTCAGGTAGAATTTTCCAGTCGAGATCTTGCAGGGTGGTTTTAATGAGCTTTGCCATGTGCAGCCTAGAATTGTCGCGGAGAGGGATAGCTTTGTCTTACCTATTGGGCCTTTTCTGGTAGATAGCCTCTTTCATTTAATCCGACTGAGTCGTATACAGATTCTTGTCAAATGTGGTATTCTTCTCAAGGAAATCCAACTGTATAAGGGCCTTCCAATTTTATTAAAGACAAATCATGATCTTTTTTGGATAGAGATTATTCTGAAGTTTAGATTTAAAAGATACTCATTTATTTCGCTGCTTCATACCGACGTAAAAACACCGCCTTCGCATGGTATTTAAAAATAAACATACAAAAGAGGTAAAGCAAAAAAACGTTAAATATCCTTACTTATGTTGCAACGGAATATATATATTGCTGACATATATTTTTTTCATAAATATTATTTAGTATATTTATGTAAACCACATAAAGTTGATGTGATAGATATGCACATTCGCTTTTCAGTAACTCTACTAAGATTACAAACTTGTGTGAAAGAACTCTTCCAGTCAGTTTTTAAGACCCTCTTTACTGTCAAATATGATATTTATATTTGACGTTGGTAAGCAAATGAATTACTCAATTTCATCTGTATTATGTTCTTAAAACTCTGTTTTCTTTCATATAATTCAAGGTGCTAAAATCTACCATCTACTACTAAAATAAAGAGGAGATTTCTAAAAAAAAAACTTAGATTAATTGAAACAAATTTGCAAGCATTGTAATTCCCGTGCAATTCATGAGTGTATGTTTCATTGTAGTTTCAAAACAATACGTTTGCAATCAATAATCAGTATATTGTGTTGTCTAACAAAAAAAAAGTGTATGAAGTCGTAGCGTATGTCATGTAAAACTAGATTAATTAAGCTTTTTTACAACGTAGCGCTTTTAATTATTTTTTAAAGCTATAAACATCTCAAATTTCGAATTTTGGACTTGACGAGATCCATGTGAGCCTAATCTATTTTCTTGTAACGAAGAACGAAAAAGTACTATTTTTTTAAATTGTGGCCATTCTCTGACTTGTTAAAATGATGTAGTAACCAACCGTGCATGGATACGCTAAGAACATTTACCATGGAAAGCAAAAGTTCTCGACAGATTCATAAAAAAAATGGTTTTATTTCTTTTCTCACGTGAAAAATTGTTGGTCCTTCTATATAGACGGCATTTGTTAATTTTTCAATAGGACTAACAGTCAAGGTACTCGAAAAATGATAACGTTTTACTCCTATCTAAACTGACAGTATCGTACTTACGCGTAAAGGTAATCTCCATACTGGCGAAATATGTCGACGATCCCATCATAATTATTACTTTTTGCCAGTTTGACGGCCAGTTCATACTGGTTTTTATGAAACAAGACTCCCAGGCGGTCTTCAGTAGACTTTTCAGTTAGTGAAAACAGTCTGCCCTGTTTGGTAACCACAATAAGCTCACCGCCATTCCAGTGAGGAAGCACGTGGCTGATGCCAACTAAGGGTGTTGAGTAGGCAACATACTGTAAAACAAAAACCTTCTAACAATTAAACAAATAATCAACAACTTGGACTACAAATTTCTGAACGAATCGTTTTAGGCTCTAAGCTCATAGCTTAGGAAACGTGTAGAGCCTATCAGCGTTCAGAACGCTGTTCAGTCTCAACTGAAACGTCAAAAATTTATAAATCGTATATTATAAATCGTATATCACAACATTTCAGTGCATATCTTGAAAACCTTTCATAAGTATTTATAGGTTACGCTGATGATGACAACTCAGTAAATGGCTACGCAGGGTCAAATACTGTAAATGTCTTTACTCCACCACGGTGCTACTCGATTAATTAATTTCATTCGACTATATAGGACATGGTCCACCTTTTTAGTGATTTTAGTTAAAATGTGAAACTAAAAATTGGATTTATACAAGATATTACTCTTGTTCATTTTTGTGACTATAATGTTTACTAAGATATGTTGACGCAGCAAGAAGGAAAAACTGTCATATGTGTACCCAAAGTAATTTGTTAACTAATTCATGGTGCGGAAAACTTTTAAAAAGGAGGAAGAAAATGGAACAGTTTATTTAGGTAAGTTAAGAGTACGTTTTTACTTAAAAAGAGAAAAGGAAAGCGCCAGTAATTTCGCGGAGAGGGCATTAAATAACCTAGAAAATAGACAAAGCTTTTTCCACGCAATTGGAACAATACAAGAGACGTTTCAACATAAAGCTGTTATCAACCAAGTCAGTTCACTGAGGTACTAGCCTTGTTGTGTATGTCGTAGATATTGAGTATGGTTTTGTCGTTGTCCCGAACGACACACACGAGATAGTTCCGAAAACAGGTAACAAGCTCTTTCTCGGCCTCAAATGCAAGACAGGGTCCAACTCCTTCTAGATGATAGAAGAACACTGCAGACTTGCACCCTAAAACGCCGCAAAACAGAGAGCATAAAGGTGGCCATCTTCCAAGAATGAACGGCTAGCGTGTTCCATAAATAGGCCCGGCGGCAGAGGCCCATTTTCTCGATTGATTCTGCCTGATCCGACGTAATTTTAGGTGGTAGAATCTTTTCTTGAGAATGAGCGGTCAACATTGCTTACAACAGAAGAACCTTTTTCGAGACATGCATATTTATTGTATCTGGTATGACAGTTGAGAACCCCCAATAATGTACAAGACTTTAATTAATTTGCAGGTAATTTGCACAGCGATATTTATACGCTACTAGGATGTTTTTAGGCTCGTAAATAAAATCGTTTGTATATTCATCCTCCATTACTTTAATATAATGATATTTGAATGTCTTACTTTCGTTCTTTTGGCCTCAGACATATTGGGTGCGAGGAAAAGTTTAGTTAATAGAACCTTCCAATAAATAACAGCAGCGTTTCGTTAGAATAAACAGAAAGATTTTCATTTTAAAAGCAATTGGTACCAAAATAAGCCACAAAAATCAGGATACAATATTGAAATATAGAAAGACAAAGCTACTAGAGATCACGGCTAATATTTCTTTACTTTTGTTTAGCAGTTGTAAATAAATTGTCATTCGGTGTAAAGTATTTTTGAATAGTTGAAGGATGTTTTGAATAGTCTCAAGCATATAATACAAAAGACAATGACAGCAATTTTACATCGAGACGAACTTACCCATAACGAACTGGACCCCCTTATTTTCCTTTCTAGGTTCGAAGATAGAGCAGCATCCAGGTTTACATCCATTTGAATCAATTTTGCAAACCATCGGTTCACCGAGAATCTTATTATTCGTGATGCCGCTAGAGTTACCCGTAGTGGTTCCAGCATTGGACTGAAGTGACACTGCGTGTACAGACAAAGTTGTCACGACGAAAATGTGGCTTGAACCTTGAAACTCTATACCTATTCAAGCAGGAAAGATAATTAAGCCCAAATTTCATTTTTTACAATATAGGATTCTTAAAAGTTGGTCCTATAAGGGCATATTTTACAGCATTTATAATAATGGCTTATTTGCAGTTTAAGTGGAAAAGTAATCAAAAGAATGACGTTAATGCTTCAAACTGGGCTTATGTTGATACACGGACCAGTAATTGGAGCGGGTGCAATAACGATGTGCAAAAGCTTCGCCTGACGACTTGTTCCTCTAGTGATATCGCATCGAATCAATAGCAGACGACCATCATCAAATCCAACGGCCATTACATTCATGCTGTCGTTTACCCGGAAAGCTGACACCTGTTATAGGATAAGTATCATCGATTCGATAAAACAATACCAAAGCCAATATAGTGAAAAGATTAAGGATCTCTAATGTTGCGCCCACAAATTTACTTCACCATTAAGCACAATCCTCAACTAAACTGTCTGTGCCGAGGAAAGATTATCTAACATTGATTCTTTATACGTGGGAACACGCAGCTCATCCTCAAATACCGCAAATTTGATAACATTTGCTAATAACCATTAGTGCCATCGTTCTATAAAGCCGTGACTCTCTGTAGCCTCAATTTACAAATGAGAATGAATACAACTCACATATAGTAGTTAGGTATTTTCTTGTAAATACAATGTATATATACACTATCTATATACTCCTAATTTCAGATTGTTTTAGCTATGTGACGGAAACTACTGCAGTAAAACTCTTCACGGTTTAAAAATCCGCCAAGAATCACGGTGCATATACAATTTGACGCCAAAAATTTTACAATAGTAAAATGTATGGTCGTATGTCAACTTACCGATGCGGGTTTATTGCCAATGACGGCTCGCATACTTCGAACACAGAAGGGCCCACCCTGCATGTCTTGCTTATTTTGATTCCACACCTGATAAAAAAATGTGATGACGTAAAGATAACATCATCATTTACAAACACTTTGTTCTAACGCACCTTGTTTACGCATTTTAAAACTTCCACAGAGGTACAGTTAATCGTGTATAAATATAGAAGAACTGCGTAACGCATGAAAGGCCTGTCAAGACAAGCATCTCTTCATCAAATAAAGAAAAAAAGTGTCTACAAGTTGTCTGCAAATACAGCTTCATACGTAGTGTGTTGTTATTATTGTTGTTCTTGTCAATTTGATATTATAATAACAGGAGCGATGGTAGTAATCGTTTATTTTTCGAAATTAGCCCTAGCTATTTGTACTTGACATACAGTTGATCACTTCGTATCGCATATTTGAAAACTTTGAAGTTTTATTTGTATTCAAAATTTGCCTATATGTTGCATATATATTGTACATAAAATCAACGCTTTGATATGTAAATTTACAAGTAATACACGTATTATAGATTGCAATTGCACGCATTCAATTATTTTTGTTTCTTTAGTCGCTACACTTCAAGAAAGCAAAATTTTTTTTGGGTCGGCTTAGAGTACCTCACGGTATTTGGATCTTGAGTCACTGCTACCAAAGCCGTGAAGGAGACGCTTAGCCTTGTAGCTACGCATGCATTTTACATTACGTAGATACGTACATTTAGGTACGTTTATTTTGAAATGCTTAGGCCTCTGCAAAGGTTATAATAAAATTCTGGTTGTGTTATAATAAAAAAGTTTAGAAGGTGTGATCGATGAAGACCTCTACTGGTGAAGGAGTTGTTAATTAGCTGAGAAGATAAGCTGTGAACATTGGAATGCTTTCAGGCATTTTGTGGGTATGAAATTTCATCAGAAATTAGACTACGCCTCCACCATAGTAGGCAGGCTGAAACGCACCATGAAACACGACTTCCTATTAACACTAAACCTTACACTCAGTATCAGTCTGTGCGCAGCCACAATAATAGGTTTCTAAACCGAAGTGTTACGGTAAATTGTATCTTCGTGTGGATATAAAGCCGCGAAAAGAAAGGGTAGCTTCGAAAGATACGTCTAAAAACAAAACTAAGCCATATTTGACCCCAAAAATCCATGATTTGCCTTTGGTAGGACTGGAAGGGTTTTCTAAAGTAACAAAGGCTTGAGAAGAACAAGGCAGTCAGCCATTATTTGTCGATGGCCCGGTTACGTCGACTGAACAAAAAAGACTCGGTAGACAAGCCAAAGTAATTTTTCTCCCTGCGAATATACCAAATCAAGCATGGGAAAGGTCGTCAAGGTTGCTGTGCAAGAGTCTGAGTAGGAAATTCCTTTACATCTACCATATTTTTTCAGACTACGCGCCAACGGATTAACATCTTTTTCGATTATTGGCAAAACGAAGTTCGCAACAGCACATTTGAAAACGAAGAATGTCTCCGAAGCTGGCTGACCAGTTTCTTCATTATTTTCCATTACCGAATCTAAAATTTTATGGCTAAATGAAAATTTAATAAGAGATGAGAAAAGGTTATGAGGAATGATCAGATTTACATAATAAATTCATTTGACAATAAGATTCGAACAAAACGCTGCACTCTTTATCAGGTGAAAAATGCCCTTATTTATATCACAACATACTTCTTTATAATTTCTATCTAATGAAATGTCGAAATTTTCGCACTTTGAAAAAGTGTATATCGACTTTAAAGCACGAATTCTTTGAGCTCTATTTCGCGATGCAGGCAACACGATGACAAGAAAGAGCTTCTCTAGCGTATACAATGCGTCGCTATTTGCAGACAAAAAAAATTAAGCCAAGGAGACAGGAAACGAAAACTACCATGAATTGAACAACCTGACACTAGGCGTACTGATAGAGGCACTTAGGTAACCTGCTCATTGAAATATAAATATATTAAAAACTTGGGCTCAAAGTTCTTAAGAACATGGTGTCGGCTCTATGAGTGTAATATAGGGATTCCTCAAACTCAATGCTATAAAGTATAATTGAAGTATATGGAAAAATACCTGTATTACCTCTACTGCTCCATTCGAAAACCGCCGTTACGACTCTTAGTAGCCCATGTTCTTTGCTCTTCAGAGTTCAACAAACTGGATTACTTAAATTAAATAGTCTGTATAGAGCTTGCGAATATTTAAGCCTGGTATTACACCTTTGAAGGCCAAAAAGTACGGAAGAAAACAGGAGATAAATTATTTTCTTTAGGCATTTCAGCCGAAGAGCTGCAATCATTTTTATTAAATTGCACATAAAAGGAATGTTTGTAAAGGTAAAAAAAATAACAATATAGCCATACGCAATAGTTCTAGAGTCCATTTCTTCGCGCCTTGGTTTTTCATAAACTAAAAAATGGTGCCCTCAGTTAAAGGTTTCAGAAGGATCAAAGTAAATATAGTCAATTATCTTTTTGAGGTTAATGTGCATGGCATAGTTTTGGACCGTATGAGCTAATCATGTAGAGATTAAGCCTACCGTTTGCAAAATTATACTCTCGATCTAATAAGCTCTATATTCCTGTACGAAAAAATCTAATCCACCAGTAGTTTTCCTTCTTTGATACGAAAACGAAAATAGAAGGATTAAGCGAACCATCAACAGTATGGACAATTTACTATAGCTTGTATGCTAAGAATAATCGTAATCGCCTCTCCAAAAACCATATCAAAACCAGTGCCAAATAAAACAGTTAATTGCTTTGTGAATGAGGGAAATCAGAAAATGGAAATAATTAGCTAGTGTTGAGAATACCTAGGATTGGCCAGCTTCTTCGTATGAAGGAAATCGTATGAACAGATCAAAAGCGCTTTTTACAAGGGCAACCACGCCTGGAGTAATGCAGTTACGGTGCTATGCTATGTGTATCAAAGTAGTGTTCTAAATTACTCTAAACGAAAACGATTTAGTAACCCAGTCAAATCAGTAGCTCCCTCTAATTGATTTGGTTGACGGCACTGTCCCCTTATCAGGCAGTAATAATATAAATTCAGTGTCTAAAAGAGCATTTGGAAGTGCGACTAAAATGTGAATTCGATTAATTGTGATAGGCTACTATTAGAAATAATCAAAATAAAACCTATGACGATAAAAGAAAGTTTAAAATGTTTTAAATTTAGACACATCGGCTGTACTCAAATATTCTATCTGACTCAGCGCCGGACTCAAACATATAAATTATTTCAACTAGAAGATATAGGGAAAAGTCTGACACAAATATAACAGTAGATTCAGTCTAAGGTACAGTCTAGCGTAATCGACTACGGACTACACCGCCAAGTGCAGTTATGTGACGCAGAACTATAAATTCATAAAGACTAGAAACAGTTCCTATACTAGCGCAGTGTTCCATGACTGTGGTGAGAAATATTGTATACCTTATACAAACATTAGGTGCGCTTCAGCAAAAATAAGTCAATAAAGTTACGAGTTGGGAAAAATGCCAAAGCAAATTACATTAAACTGACTAGTTTTTTCCGTCGGATACCAAAAGTGTATTAAATTTGTCAATAAATCAAGTTTCAGATCAACCTTGTAAAAAATTTTCCATATAAATATAATTTGATGTGCTTTATATAAAGTCAGATGGTGTTCCGTTTAATTTTACCTTGATGACAGGATTGATTCCAGCCTCGTCAGATCCAACCGCAACAAGAATGTTCTCGCGCATCTGCTGGACATGCTCTACGCATACCCTGAAGGCTGTAGGATGAACGAAACCAAAAACAGGGGATCATTATGGGACTGTATGTTAACTTACAAGAATTTCGCTTTAAGTCATGAAGACCTTTGAACCATGAAGAAGAGTTTTATCTCAAAATTTAATATACGTCTCTTCCTTGAACTCAATTTTTCTTTAGTTAGCTTGTCTTGCAGTTTTCTAAATTAGTATAGATAAACTTTCAGATGAAAAAAGAGCTGGTTTGAATTAAACAGAATACCGAACGGTGATTACGATAAAACAAACCCTGGAATGTGGAGACATTGAGTGCTCGATTGACGGTGTGGATCATTCCTTTAGAATCGCCGAACACCAACAATGAGCCTCCGCTACTCGCGCATGTTACGTTCACATCCTATAAAATTAGAAAAAGATATTGGCCATATATACATCTTTTCCATCAGTTATATTGTGGGTCAAAATTAAGTAACCTAACAACGTAATATGGCATATACTATTATATATAATATTTTGTATGCTTTTGCCTATTGCAAAAGCATTGCCTCAAACCAAATTCACAGGATTAAAATTATCACAGGATTAAATCACAGGATTAAGTTTGTTCAAATTGCAAGGACAGTGTACGTATTAGCGATACCTTCAAATAGTTGAACTCCTGATCTTGATTATTGTTATCCTTGATCACTTTGATGTCAAAAAAAGTGAAACGGCGCCACTGCAAATAGGTCCATCAGTTATTCAGATAGGTAATAATTTGCGTGTTGTTTAAGCGCCTAAAATAATGTGCTAAACTTTTCTATTTCAAATAGACTACAAAGTACTACGCTTACACCGCAACCAAATCGCCTTATGGCAAAATCAGCATGCGTCCACTTGTTTAATTATATTATTTGATTAGGAAAATCGTCAATTGGATAGTCCATATAAGTACCAACAATGTGGCTTTTTTAGACTTTTCGCACCATTTAAACTTTTTGGCTGTTTTAGTCCTTACGTCTTCAGGACTTCTGGTCTGTCATTAGCCCAAAATTCTGCTAAATACCAATAATTCCGCCAGAATTTTTGGTATTTAGCATTTGTGCAAAACTTTAACAATTTTATTTCTACCAATGTCGTTTGGCGCGCGGTTACTGTTAAATAGTTATATGCACACTAAAAAATGAATATTGTCAAAATGACTAGTATATGGCAAAAAGCTGTAATTGCGGTGAATGGTGGTTAAATAAATAATCGTGACTATCAAAATTGAGACGGTTAGCACGTGTAAAGAAAATCGTTAAAATATTTGGTTTTATCTAAATACAGTTTTAAAGATAAATTATACGAAAGATACTCGAGTTAGGTGCCGCAGCCTGTATATTTTTATAGCGATATAACCTATGAATGTTCTATACTATATCATTTAGTGTTGATTCGTAGCCTAACACTTATTACCAATGCAACTTCTTAAAAATCATCTTGATTTAGGCAATCCTCTCAATGCAAATTATAAAATCAAAACTGTTTACTTTTATACAGCATGGAAACTTATCTTCGGATCAAGTATGCATAAACATTCTTAATATGTGTAAGAGATGTTGTGGTGGACCCTCTCAGACAGGCTATTTTTCATTACGTTCTTCAGAATAAGCAAGTTTGTGTGATCGAACACTGTATTTTTTTAGGTTCGAAATTGACCCTGTAGCCGTATCCAAGAATACAAAGCTCCAGAGCACTAGCTGTTGCATCAGTGTTTAGGTAAGCTACAATATGAGAGAGATGATGCTGCTATGTTTTAATGTGAAACACTACTTTGGTTTAAGTGCTTTATCAACTATGCCATTGCTTTTCCTTAAACAATTTTCTTATTGAAGTATTTATCTGAACGCCGATCAGAACGACCTACCTCTGTTCTATAACGACCTACCTATCTTTGCTAAAGGGACCATTCCCACAAAAAATTAAACATGAAGGAAAGCTATGTCAGAGATTTGCATAACAATTGTAAGTCCCTTAGCCATTTTTAAAGTACGTTGTTCTTATATTCTACATTTCAGAGCGGTATCAGAGGGCAGCATTGTTCACAAGAACGAGTTCTCTGTAGTATTCTATAGAAGAAAACGATGGGACGTGAATAATGCAGCTATTGCTGTACAATAGAAAAAAATTCGTACATCGTAGTCTACGATTTCAAACTGTTCAACAAATAGGTTAAAAATTAAAATTTTGAAAATTAAGAACCCACCTGCACAAACGACATCTTCATGATCCACCAAAACAATGCAGTTACTGACAGGTTTCGTCTTTTTTTAGTATTTTCTCATGAAATACTACCTATATCTATTTTGTCTTATAAAAGCCGTTTATTTGAAAAATAAGCGTATCTCATTCACATTTTATTCTAAAAAGTTCGACACTTCTGTCAAAATCACATGATGATCTAATCGTCGTCTGCTTGCTGTCTTTTTTTACCTACCCCAATGTGACGTAAAGGTATTTGCAATTCACACGTATCTACTTTAGTACAGTACAGGTTGATACCAGTCAATAAGTTTTTTTTTTTTCATTAACCGGTTAACCTTGTTGACTTCAAATTACACCATGTTTTGAGTTGATTTTCGGAGCTGATTATCCTGATATTAAAGCGAATCGTAGGTTTTGTGAGGATCGTTTGAAAACTCGCGCCATTGCGTTCAGTCACCTGACAGTTGCTGCTGCTGGGTAGTTCTTCTGCGGATCACGGGATATCTCTCTTAACAGCGGATACGCTGTGGGTGTAAAGCAAATAGCGCACAAACAGCGAAGATCCGGGTTTACCAGATTTCATTTGGTGTGAATTTTTATTCTGAGTGCATAAAGCTTAAAACCAGCTTCAGCCATGGCGCAGACCGACACCTATGTTCAAAAGCAGGTACGAAATTGCGGTTCCATTTATACTTATTACAGTTATATACAATACTCATTACAAGACTACGAATGATTTTCCCATGTTAATTCAGTGAAATCGACTTCATTAAAATTGTACATAGACTGTTACTCTTGTTCATTAGTTGTTTCGAATCCTATGTTTTACTATTATTAGAATTATCGACAGGGAATTTTTTTTATCAGCACTACATTTTCATCAAGAATTCATAATGAATCTGCTTTCATTGCAGCATCGACTCCTAATGTTCAAATAGCACATGTTAGGAAGTCATTGTTCTCCGAGATTCATCAGAGCCATGACTTTTAAATCTAGTATGCTGTTCAATTTTTAGCTTTACTAACGTAAGGAATTCAAACTAGTATTTTTTAACCGTCAAGACATAACTCACATATTCGTCCTTCGGGAAAACGAATATTTTGAAGATAGGCATTCATTCATAGCAGGGATATTGAGTTCAGTTACAAGTGGACTTAAATATACATTCATGTTAACTTATGAACAAACAAAAAAACATTTATGCAAACAAAAATGCGTCTATTGCAATTGCATGACTCAAATTTCTGGAAATAAATTGGTTATTTTTGGTTTTGTCCTGTCTAATTTTCTAACAATTGAATTTTTCTCATCATGACTACATATAATAGTAACTATAAATTAAAAAAAAACTCGCCGTTAAGATCAATCAGAGGCCCCCCAGTGAAATATATTGTCAAAAGACCAAAATCGTATAAGATGGAGGATAAATGAGTTGCTTAAGCTCATTGGTAATTACTTTAAACGAGTACGGCAGATGCCAGCAGTTAAAGTAGAATAGGTGAAAATTAGACACAATTTCTGAAACACAGGCCTATTAACAGTGATTCTGCTAGAACTGTAAGGATCTCCTATATAATAGATTGAAGACATCTTCACATCTAGTTCGTTTCCAAGGAAAATCTTGCGTATATTGACTCTTTCATGCACACGTTTGGCATAGAAATATATTTGGTGACCTTCAACAAATTGTAGCGAGATGGGTAAGGTGCTGGATTAAAACTATCTAGTCCAAGGTTCGACTCGATTTGCACGCGGTCTGAAAGAAACATTACTTATTTTATGGACAGTAGATAACAATCTACTTGTAGTTGATACCAATACATAGGCTGATCGCATATAACTAATCAAAGAATCACCAGCCGAAGGAACAGAGGTTACTTTTGAGGAAGCATTGTTAAGTTATGGAATGAATGGATGCACTTATTTTTAAAAAGGAAACCTTACGGATTCCTTAATTAAAAAATAATGGGATTTTTGGCCCTGAAGCTGCTCGCCATGGTAGAAAGGTGGAGAATTTGATGCTACATTATGTAATCGAGTTGGTGGTCTTTGTAGGATCCATCACATCTGCTATGCTTTTACGGCGACATAAATTCATTTATAATGTTGGCATTCCTGATAGTGGTAAGTTAGCAAAGTTATTCCCATGAAAGAATTGGCGGTCGTATAAGGCTTTCGATAATTGTAGAGTTTGACCTTATCCGATACGGCAAGCAGTTTGAATGAATTACCACGTAAATGATTATTACCATTCAGACCATATGTTTGATGCCTTGATCTTCTGACCATGAATTCCCTTGCATCGAAAGTTTCAACTGTTAAACAATTATATATTTTTGTCCTATTGTACAATGATTTACGCACAATCTGCTTTATAGATCCAGCAAATGATGGCCTTCATAGAACAGGAAGCTAGTGAAAAGGCTGACGAGATAGATTCTAAGGCTGAGGAAGAGTTTAACCTTCAGAAAGGACAACTTGTGTTCGAAGCACGCCAGAAGATCAACGAAGAATTCGAGAAGCGTGAAAAGCAAATCGAGTTGCAGCGCAAGATGTACGTGCTATTAAGCACAAACACAACATGTGCAAACATATCCCTACTATATTACTAAAAGAACAGATACTATTACTATACCAGCTAGTCGGGGCGCAATTTACAGCTTTAAATAGTTAAATTATACCTAGATACTTCGGCACTATATATGACTGTACAAATCTTTGCAGCATCTCACTTGAACAGCACCTAAGCCAGATGAACTGCATTTTTTTTAAATATACAGATACACTTCTACTTAATGAGCCGATTTTGAGAGATCGATTTATTTTGCAGCGGATATACTCATTCTGCATAATCAGTGTAGTCAACCGCCGGTATATGCACACGGCGATATAGTCTTACCCCGAAAAATCGCAAAAAGATTTCGCTGCTGTTATATGCTGTTGCTTGAAGTACTGCTAAACGTAGCAAGTAGATAATATAATAATATACGTATTAATAATAATAATAAGATAATATACGTATCGCTTGAACATAATTACTCAAAATGATTCAGTTAACTCCACATTTAACGAAGAAAATAATGTTCCATATTGTTCGGCTGGTTGTCATTTGTAATTGTAGTCAAAGCTCGAAGATGCTAAACGCCGCGCGTATCCAAGTGCTGAAATGTAAAGAAGATCACATCAAGACCGTTTTGGAGGAGACTCGTCAACAGTTAGGAGCAATCACAGAGAAGCCTGATCAATACCGTGTCCTCCTCGAAAAGCTTTTGCTTCAGGGCCTCCTACAGCTCATCGAAGATGTCAGTGTCGCGCTGTTCCTGGTTTATTTTAATAAGAGTAACTGTCAGATAAAGATATTGCTATTACTGTATGATAAATCTAACCTTTCCGGCTCGTTTTCTTTGTAACTTTCTTGAGCAGAGCGTCGTTGTTCGTTGTCGCCAAAATGACCAAGCACTCCTTACACAAATTAAAGAAGACGTTTTGCAGCAATATCAACAGAAAACTGGTAGAACTTGTAATATGGTTATTGACGGAAAGACCTTCCTGCACAATCGATGGTGTGTTTTTATTATCGGATTTAAAATAGCGCAATTACGAGATGACCTCACATATAGTCACTATTAGTGGTTTTTTTTACCTTCAATGTTTTTTAAAAAGTTTTGGCCTATATTTATGCAAAGGTATTAACTTAGCAGAAAAAAATAGTTTCTACTACGAGCAGGATATGGAGGAGAACGTGGATTAACTAGACCGTATTGTATTTTCAGCGGAGGTGGCGTTGAACTGTACGCTCGTAATGGAAAAATTATGGTGGCCAATACTCTCGAGAAGCGTCTCGAAAATGTATCCTCTCAGATGATGCCACAGATCCGTAATCAGCTATTTGGAATCAATCCAAATCGCAAGTTTTTTGACTAAACCGCAAACAACTATTCGTTCCGTTCACACGCTTTCACATGTCGTAGACGATTCTCCCATGATGACATTTTCATCCACAGGATGAGGCCTTCAACTGCCATCAATCTTGAACTCAACAGAACATTTTGAAGGACATTAAATTTGTTGGGAGTGAAAAAAACATGTACTCTAGTTTCTACTAAATTCTCTGGATTCATGCTAGGTATGCGATTAGAATGTGGGCGGTGGCTATATAAAAAAAAAACACATAGCAGTGCCTGTTTCAGTAATTGATATTTCATGCGGCGATGCTCAAAGATTATCAGATCTGAATTGCACAGTAAAAGCCTAAAATATTTGTTTCATGAGATCTACGAACATATGTTCAATGTATATTAACGGGCCTATTATAACATGCTTGGTTACGATATACTGTATGAAATTATTTAGATGACGGACTTTTGAAAAGTACCACAGTCCACTACAAACGTGGAAATCGTACGAGTCTACTAGGGAGAATCCAAGATAAATCCAAGAAATGTTTAATCCATTTTATACTAGTGATGATATATTTACAGTGGTTAATTGAAATTGAATTCCGCGCCTAGGATTTCCATAGCATGTGTAGTAGAACGGAAAAGCTTGAAAAAGGCAAAGAATCCTAATTTATTAATCCGATATTGATAACATAACTTCTCCTCACATACAGATGCCAATATGTACCTGGAATTATTTAATTAGTAACTGTGCGATAATAGTTTTGTATCTCTATTGCGTCGAATGAATGGTATTGTCATATGATATGTTGTTATTAAGTATTATATTTATGAATAAATTTAATGTGTAACCGTACATAGTTACGTAGTCTTATTGGCTTCAACGATTTTCCTATGTGCAGAACTTGAATGAAGAATACGTTAAGTTCCTTGCGTTTATTTTCATTACTTTGTATTTTTCCAATGCAGACAACGTGTTCATGAACAACTTTGTACTGACATAGCAGCTTCAATTTCAATATAATATCAAGTTAAAATATCATTCGCTTGTATTTATTAGTGCTTAGCAACTTCTAGGGTATGTCCAGGTAATAATAGTGTCGATAGAATATAAAACACTACCCTTTGTTTTTCGTGTGCTTCCTAAAGTTTCAACTTTAGACCTTCTTGTCTTTGTTATGTATAATTACACACTTCTCTCGAACGAACGCTCGTTAGAATTTTAGACGAGCATTTGTTTTTCTGATCATCCTTAATGTCACCTTCTGTCCTCCTTTCCTGTTGAGGATTATGTATTTGGTTTTTGTGGCTCAATTATAAGACCAGTGCAGACAAGATGTCAGAACTAGATTAGAGAAACTACTATTTCGCCCGCTAGTATAACTAGACTTCAGTATTAGAAAACTTACCGGAATATGTTAAAGCCCTTTTATAACTAGTGCTACCGAATGAAGTGATTTGGGTCATAGTGCTCTGCGTCCGAAAATTTCGTGCTACCAATTCTTTTTAGAGCTGAGCGAACTGCGTCACGATTGCGAGCTTCCGCCGACATAAATACGAACCTAGTCATTTGCAGAGTTTTTTGATTGCACTTAAAATACACGTTGGTCCTTCATGACGCACTTGTGTATTCTGTTATGCGTTTTAACGGCATGTTCAATATCTACCGATGATATTGTTCAGAGCGGAAATTTGTGGCTCGCACGCCGATTCATCTTCATTCTTTCTAACAATTTCTGGACATTATTTTCGATGACACTGCAGTCTACCTAGTTTATCTAACGATGTGCCTACAAATAGTCTCGCTCTCCCGGAATCAATCGGTGCACAAAGCTTCGATTGCCTATGCTAATAACTACAGGTTTATGTTGCTTGATAGATATTCCGTTCTCAATGCACTGTACATTTTGAAATTATCCGTAGTAACCGCTTCATCTAATTTTCATCGGCTACGTGGTTTTGACAGGAAATCGGGTAGCTTCGGCTTTGGAGGCACCCATTTCGTTTGTACTTAACACATTGCGCATCTTTTTATCACAGTACTTTCAAGTTTTCGCCACAGTATACACACATGTTAATTTTACAAGTTGCTTTGATTGTACGTCCCTAGACCTTCTGAACCACTTCCGTGCTTTCGAGAGTGATATGTCCATTAATATAATAATACCATTCTATTACCGAGCTTTTCTTTAAAGAGGTGTGCATATTGTGTCGTTTGGTACTTATTCGTTGTAGCTCATAGCTAGTTTGGAACCCGAATGATTGCCCTTTTTTCTGGTCTGTTTTTTAATCTGTAACATTAACATAAGTTTTAGGTGTAGAATATCAGATGAGCACTCGTTTGCTTTTCGTGTAAAGTTTATTAGCAATGTTTATAGCCATGGCAATATCCATGTCTTTTTTGAATGCTTCATAACCGCTTTTCGATATTTCCGCCGTTTTCGGTAACTGCCTTTCTAGTTTGCCAATTTTTAAAGGGGCAAGTATCATTGCGTATGATTGCAAAGTTAGCTCCTCTCTCGGTTTCTACATGGCATACCTGAAGTAAGCTTTCAGTTACTGCAAAAATATGAAAACGGAACCCTAAAAGTTGGCCCACGTGCTTCCTCATAAAGGCTGGATTTTTACTATTCAGGATAAGGAGGTCTACATTTTTTAGTTCTGCAGCAACTGCTTTTTCGCAGCAAGCCTCTAGAGTGGGTGTATATTACGCGCCAAAAATAATTAATGGAATCAATTATTATAGTGCTGACATCAGCTTCGTTTCTAGGGAACATGATAACAGTTTATATTGGTCAAAATTCTAGTTCGACGCCGAACCACGTCGCTATCACCTTGTTAGGGAAATTATTATTTGTATCTGCCTAATCAAAATGGATCCTAAGAATGTCGTTGGTATCGTAAGCCAACGTATGTTCCAACAAAATTTGAAACAACATTAACTTTAAATTCAAGTCTATTTTGCCCTAAAAGTCAAATGTCTAATCTTCAAAATTAACTTGAAATCCGAAACATAATTTTATATTTATCAAACTAGGTATTATATTTACTACTAAGTGCGTCGCTACGAGGCCGAAAGCGCGCACTTCATGGCGTTATAATAGCTTCCGAAAACGCTCCAGAGTCGGAAGTTTTGAGGCATTCCAAGGGAACAATCGGCCTAATGAAAAAAGTAAGATGGCATCCTGTTACTTCACATTTGTGTTGAATAATTGCAAAGTCAGGTGTTCTCATGATAAGATTTTGCGTTCTTATTGTTACAAATCTTGGTTATTTAGGCCGATAGTAAAACACTGCGTACAAATCCCTCACATGTTGTATAAACATGTCGCGCGCAAATCAATGAAGCATAAACCAACGTTTACAGTCTTGTTTGTTTGGCATCTTGGTACCTCGAAAAGCATATGTTTTAGTAACACGTTCTTTTTATCTGTTTGAACTACTGATACCATGAAAGCACTAAGTTATATATGATTATTATTATTAATATTAGAATATATTAATAATTATTATAATTATAATAATAATTAGAAAAAATATATATATATTTTTTTGTCATTTAACACTAATAATAATAAATTTACAATGAACAAACAGTTTCTATAATTTTATATATTTTGTACTATTTTTATGTCATCGATGAGGCTATTAAAGACACATTAAGCTCGTAAGGTGGTTATCGAATTACTTCTATGTTACCATAATCTTATTCGTTTTGATTGCGTGGATATCCATAGTAAATCTCGTCTATACACAAGTCTAAAGACCACACGTGAGAGCCCGCTTGACAGAGAATGGGCAATTATGCAGGCCACATTTCATTGCTAAGGTATTTGTTTGGTACTTTAGGCTATCACTCACTCATTCCTAAACACCGCATTCTCTAGCCCTGATTCGGAACTGATTCTTTATTACTCCAAACTAAACCATAAACTCAACATAATTGGACAAAGCAAAATCTTATTTTTGAACAAGAGCCATATGGGCCGCTTTTATAGGTTTATATATTTTGCAGCATGTGACTTGAGTAGTATCTATGGCACATTATTTTTGTCTTTCTGAATGCAAAGATGAATTTCCTCTCGTGGAGCCGCTTTCAGCGAATCGATTTATTTCATATTAAGTCAACTCGGCCGACAGAATCAAGTTAAGGTAGAAGTTCATGGCAGGGTATTTTGATCCCGCGTTTATATATATATATATATATATTTTGTTTTATGTATATATTTTATATTTATATCTCGAAATCCTCCAAAAACCCTTATATGAGTTATTTGATGACTTTGATTTAAATATTGCTCGTATGTTTTCATCCCTCGACTTAGACAATCGCACGCAAAAATCGATAATTTTTACAATCGCTGCTAGTTAGTTGTCCTTTCCCTTTCGCCTGCTCGCTGCTGCAGGGACATTATTTCGGGTTATATGTGGGCTTCTGCTTAACTATCTGTACTTCTAATTTCTTCATTATAAATATAAAACAGACAAGAATAATTATACGAAAAAAAAAACCTAGCAAGCAAAATCAATATAATATTTTATTTTCGGGAAAGACGCTATCAAACTCTAAATTCACGGCAAAAAAAAGATGACGGTGGCCAACAATTCCGAAAAATACCTTGAAAATATCTCTGCAGGTGACCGTATACAAAAAGGGCTGCTAGTGGGTATCCAGCTTAATATTAGATAATTCCAGTTAATTTGTCACCGTGGTTGGGGCTGATCAGGTCCAAAACACGTAAAATTAAAAAATATTTAAGTTTTCCTTTCTGGCAGGCTCAGATGGAGCCGACACAGATTAATAGCCGGGAGGATTATGTTAACGACAAAATATGTTTACTATATAACTGTGGACAAATTTTGATTTTTCTTTATTTTATTTAAATATATTTTTGTTAAAAAAATAAATTTAAATAATGTGTTAACAACATGAGGTACATTTTTCACATGACTTATAATTCAAAACCGTAATGTTAACATCACCTAGGTAAAAATAATTTTACACTGTTTTAAGAAGATTCAAACTGTCAAGAGAGTCAAATAACAGGTAAGGCTGTAAAATTAGAGTGTTTTATATGTAGATAAATTCACCGTGTAATCATATGTAAATTCTTTGTTTAATGGCAGACCAACGAATATAGTTTCTTCGGAATTGACGTGCACCTTCCTTTCCTCCAATATGTGACGTGCTGAACTGTACTCTTTTGTGTGCGTAGCTTCGGTCTTAATCAAGCGTTACTGAATAATACATATTCGATAAATTATTTAATGATACAATTAACTAATACGATCTGTTTAAGGTTAATTGTATACTTACAGCCAAAGTTAATAACCTTTGTTCTCTTTAATTAACGATTTATTTACTTTCCCTTTTGTACCTTGCAGACCCCACAACCAAATCATTATAAGAATCACATATACCTATTTATAGCAGCTTCTAGGTCTGACGACAATATAAAAAGCACACGAAGACAATCGGGCATTTGCAGGACAAATTTTAAAATATGGGTGCAGACGAAACGTACGAAATTTCTTACACCCATTTACTAATGCTTGCAATATACAACATGAGACATTCTAACAAACACTTGAGGTCAAACAAATGCCCAGAGTATTTCTATAAGTAATCTGAAAGTCCTCGAAGTCAATGGAGAGTATCGGAAGATGCTACTCCAAAAGCAGGATGTTGAGAATATCCTTCTTTTGTGCCGCTTATAAAACAAGATTAATCTGCGTCTGTTTTAACCCTCATTAGGTCCGTAATGGTGTTAAACAGCGATGTAAAGAAATTTCTGTCAAGTGTCAATAATTAGGGTGAAAGAACTTTGTTGGTGCAACACATTGTTTCTATGGCTTAAACAATACTTGCGTTCAAATAGCCTTAAATTAGTTCCATAACTTTCGTAAAATCGAGTGGATCGTTTTAAAAATAGATCGAAAATGTGATTGGCGTAATGGATGTGGCGTAACTTAAATACTATAGTTAATGAAGTTCTACAGAGTAGGACAAATTTTGAGTTGTAATAACAGTACGAGAGGTACAATGCATTACCATATATGAAATAGAGCGATATTCTATGATAAATTCCAACATTCTCCGTTTGAGCTTGCCGATTACGCGAGGTTTTTTGTGAATTAAAAATTACTATACGGAGTGCGTTAGTGCATCATGTCGAGAACACATGTCGAATGGCATCCCTTTCTGGTTTCGGAAAAAAGAATTGAGCTAGAATACTTTAAGACCCCGCAAAATACATGCATGGCTGTATGCAATTCTAAACTTTTTTTCAGGTTATTGGCATGTTCTAATTATTTGAATTATAGATTTAGTTTTTTTTTTAGGCTTTGTAAACTCTTCGAATTTTTTAAAGTATGAAATAGCAGCGAAATCGCGATTTGCAGCATTTATTTCTGTTTGCATTTGTTTATTTCTATAGTGCACTTCACTTTCATCCGGTGAATTCACGAGATCCCCTACATCTGTCAACTAACTTCAACGTTAAAAAGCGTACGAATTAGTTAATAATATCCCATAGTTGAGCAGAATTTGTTAGTTAAGCTTGCTAGCCGGCAATAGAGTACTTCATTTACACGATCATTATAGAGAAATTGTAAAGCTGTTTCAAGAGCAGCACAAATTAATCGGCATAGCATCTGACCGGTTGAGCAATCGAGCGCTTATTCAAATACAGACAGTTTAGTAGAATCTGCTTCACATCAATCGAAAAACGCAAAAATCAAAGCTTATGAAAATCTAATTGATCGCAATCTATCTATGCGTCTGCGGTACAAGATTATTCGTTCCTTCTATTTGCTAAAAAGGCGCAAATCATCCAAATATAAGATGGCGGCTACCAGTTGTATCGAGCCTGCAGGTATCGTTACAATAGAGACGATGTCTGTTTTTGCTTTATTACATCTGTGCCACCCGTTTACCATAAGCTTGGCCACTCGCTGTTTACTTATCTATCAGTCTATTGTGTCCCATAAACATAAGGCGACTGAGCACTAGCGCAGCCTTGGCTTCTGACCGGGGTAGTGTGTCACCTTTTTATGTTTGTGTCTTGTATATGTGTCTGTTTGTGTCCTGATTAAGTAGCGTAATGTTGAGCTGGGGCTGAGGTAGTTGTGCCACTATTGGTTAGTTATTTCCTTCCTACCTGTGCGCTATACACTAGTGTTAATAAATACAAAATTTTATTATTATAAAAAAGTGCAACTAGTGCATAACTACTACTGTAAGAAATGTCAACTGGACCGAGTGAACAATTGGCCTTCAGTCAGTTTCGCTTTGTAAACTTGGAAATGATTTGCGTTGGGAAGTGCGTGACTGAGATGTGTTAAATATACGAACTACCCTAATGTGCAGGCTTCTGGATGGTGGACACCGGTGAAAGAGCGCCTTACTCGTAAGTTTTAGATGATAAACCTTTTACGGAATGAAAATTTAAGTGATAGTATTTGCGAAATCGGTGGTATATTTTAGCATGCGAGCATATGAAAAACGCTTACCGAATTAAACATTGTTGTAAAGTAATATGGCTAAGGTATTTAAAAGGGTTAAGCAATATGCGGCTAGATGTATTTGATATTTGCTTTTCATCTTTTAATGTTTTGTTGTTCAAGGATTTAATTTATTAATCGTGTACAACTATTTGTTTGCTCATTTATTCGCTAGTTAGCAGGCTTTTCCAGGCATTACGATTTCTCTTCGAATTCAGTGAGACAAAGAAAAATGTCAGTTGTCTGTTTATACGTTCGGATCTGACACGTTGCTACGTGATTATGTCCTGATTCGATCAATTTGCAGCTCTGCGGACGCTAACGAACTCACTGATTTAGCTGCAAATGACTGCTACTCAGTCACCACTGTCAGTAGATCTCTCTGCAAATGTTGCTGAATATATCTATATTCCTCTACACTATACTCCTAACCTTAGTATCTTAACCTTATTTTTCAGAAAATACAGTAAACTTTGACAATTGACAAAATGAAGTAATATTTAGAGTTGTCTTCCTCAATTTCCCTTAGATTAACGAAGTTTTTGTGTATCTTCACATCACATCGAGTAAGGTACAGTGACTCGTACTTCTGTGACAAGCTGAAAATTCTTAACTGCTCGTATTATTTAAACAAATACAACTGATATTTCCTACAAGGTTCTTTGTTACATTCTACAATTTAACACTCCCTTGATTCTATTTGTAATGGCTTTTTTTTAGTTAGCTTGTGATCTTCGGACCAGTTCATTGAAACTGGCAACGTCCCACAAATGTGTTTTTGCAATGCTTCATCGCTACCACAACCGTAAAAGAAAATTTAACGTTGTATTAGTATAATCGCAAACTTGCAAACCGACAAAAAACCTCAAAATGATGCTATTTTTATTAAGATTTCCTTGAGCTTTTCTAAAAGATTTATAACTTAGATCTGCAGGCGTATTTAAAGCGCCATTACATCGCACAGAATATAATCTTAAGTCGATATCAATTGAGTTATGGATGACGTTCTAAGCGTGAGGCGTAGCGTAAGATCCGTCGGGTAAGAATGTTTTCTAGCGGTATAATATTACGTTTGGATTGTACAATAATCTTAGAAGTACCAAATATACGTGAAATCCGAGTAGACTGCATTACCTTCAGTATAATCAACAGCTCTGTCTGAACAATTTAGACATTCAAAAATATGGGAAATTTTCACAAGTCTTTGTCACATCGGTGCATATATGTAACTAATCGCATAAAACTTTTTTACATTTTTGAAGTTGCTTAAGACTTTCTTATTATTTTTAGAGGTGCAAAGTTACTGGCCTTTAGTATGTCACTGTCACGGATCTGATGTATATGCAATGGAATCTCTCAAATATATAGTTCCAGGTTTCCGATAATAAAGATATGCTAGATCCCACTAACAGGCCGATGCATGCGTGATGTGCGTTAATGGACGCCTACATGAAGGGTTGTTTTTGAGAGGAGTCAGTAACGAATCCAGGCTATGAAACGCTCGCCTATCTTGAGCTGAAGGAACACCGCAGGTAGTCTCACGAGCGCCATATTTGCCAATTTAACACCGAAGTAGATGAGGTAAAAATAGCAGGATAAATTACTCTCCTTAATACTATCGTAATCATTGTCCCGAGCAACCTACATATGTATCAGTTAAGTGAAAATGCGTTCTGTAATTTGGCTAAAAAGCGAATTGCTCGATTCGAAATTATATATTTTTGTTTATTATTATAGACCTATGGGTGCCTCATCAATCTTCGACGAAACTCTCCTTAGATAGTGGTGGTCTGAGCTGACGCTTACGTTACCGTGCACACTGTGTTAAAGCGGCCCGACGGTCCTAGAACGTTGGTTTCTCGTAGTGTGTGCTTGCCTGTCATGTGTTAGTTTTCACTCAAATACGTTTCTGCCAAGTGCTCTATCAATATATCGTTTTTTTTATTATCGTCGCTTGAAACTATTCGTCTGACCTTTTCAAAATGAGCTTCTTCACAACTGTTTTCGTACGTACGTATAGACTACTGTGTGTCTAAGCTTGCATAAGATAACATACTTTTGTATGATTTTTTCGCGCTTTGAAACCCAGTCGTCTCATTCTTCGTACCCTTGAGGAATTTATGAATTCCAGTTGTTTTATATCTGATATACGTTTACCGTTTAGCTTGCTATTAAATCACGTGAGCCCCGAATCCATTTCGTTTACACTAGCACAGTTAGCAACGGAAGTATACATGTCGGTGCATGTGAACTAGCTGCTATTTCATAGAGTTATAGTCAAATTTCTAGATAGATACAATGTCAATTAATGGTCCACTTAGAGCGAATCAGTAAGGGATGATCTGAATGGAACGGATATAACTTTCACTTCGGAAGAGGCACATCATTACAGGACAACACCCGGAATAGGCGACACGCAAATTTCGCCTTTGCCAATATCGTCTGAAATAAATTGTGCGAAACCTTGTGTTATACAAAAGTTTAGTAATAAATTTTTTTTATTAGTTTCGTCGTATCTTTTTGGCCCTCCTAAGGTTTCCTGGTCGATATGTGGCTAAGAACGTTTCCCGCTGTAACGGAGATGTGCTCACTCTTCCTAACCGTCGAATTTCTTTATAAAAATTTGTATACCAATAATACGCTGGACGTTCTCGCGGTGGAAAGAAGATGGACTTGAATCCTACAATTTTATCTTGGAATGTGGGGTTCACATATGATTCTTTTACGCAGCATGGAAACGGTGTTAACCTTTTTTTCAGGACAACTTCCTCTTAATTGGAAGAAATGATGTGTCTTTATGGTTGACTTGGAAGTTGGCTGACTTGGCCGATATAGCTGAATCATCTGGCAACCATAACTCAGGGATCATCGCAACGTCGACATTCCCTTTTGTGAAATACTGATGAATATTGCATTTCCTTTCTGAAATGATTGAGCATTTATTCAGAATTTAACAGATTACTTACGTTGTTTATTAAAATTTATTGCGATTGTTATTGCTCCCCATGACCCAGGTCTCGCATAGGATGCCACGATAAATCCCATAAACAATCACTTTTTACATTATCACAGCACTGTCTCTTAGCGTAGAACTTTTTGTTACTATTGTGCGTCTTTAGTTTCTTAACTCTTGTTCCCTTAATTTTCAAGATCCGGCAGGGCAGGTAAATACGTCGTTGTACGCCAAAGATTTTGTTGTCTTTAGAAGGAATAAACTTTATATCGAGCAAGCTCTCTCCACTATTTGTGTTTTGTGGACGTAGCTGGACCGGTGATCCACTTAGACAAGAACGGTTCCAAGCGGGGGGTGATCTTGAATAGGGAGCGCAAATCACACAGATTTCACACAGAGCGAGTATCACAGTACTTGCTTTTCGGCGTTTACCTGCGCGCAGTGTTGGTATTGTTCGAAATAACGGTGGCCTCACGCGCTTTTTAAGGGATCCAAATTGTCAGGGATTACTTCTCATCGAAGTAGCTCCAAAGACTTGATCGAGTCGAAGTTTTGTTCTTAAAGTGCGCTATGGGCCTAAACCGCTCATAATTGGGTAGATACATGTACCTTCTAAGCAAACTACACATTGCTATTTATAGAGAATCTGAGATTCAAACTTCTTATCAGCCCTGCCTATACAAAGTTCATCAGTTCATAGGAAAAACGGCAAGCATCGATTTTGACTTCTATCGTACACAAGCTATGACTAATAAAACCCAGAGTGGACCGGAAAGAAAGAAGTGGCACACAGTTACATGTCTTGCGATGCTTCAGCACACGTCAGACAGTGGATTTTCATTTACCAGAGACTACGAATATCTGCACAAGATGTGGTCCATTATGCGTCAGATACCATATAGCGTTACACACTGCAGTTCTATCATTGTGTGGTCTTTCCAATCGGGGACACTGACCTTAAAATTTATCGTTGTTTTATTTTTACGTAAATACAATTAAATAGTATTTTCCTAAACATAAATAAACAATTTTAAGCATTATTGATATGTTAGTGCAAAATCGCCCGTAGCATGTGTTGAAGGCGCCCTCGACATGTGATATTTACCTATATATTTATCGTATTTTTCGTAATTCAAGTAATTCGGATGAAGTTGTCGATCCTGCCGAGGAGTGAGCATACAATTTTTGCGAACGATTATTTTCATTAATGCATTCTTGCTCCTTTTTTTGCGGCCTTTTTTGTTTTAGGATAAAACAAACGGCGGACTGTACTTATACTACGATCTCGTGATATGTGTTTATTTTGCTTTGAGTTTTGAATAGCTTTGACTATTAGACTTGTTTGAGCTATCAGCTTTCTGTTTCACAAGTTTAGTGCTGCATTTTTGGTAGGATTTGTCCAGCTATGAAAAATAACATATCTTTTAACTGTCATAAAGTTGCCAACTGGTTTTATTTACTTCAACTCAAGTTATAATAAAAGTTGTTCAGGCACCGCTAACTTTACGATCAAAGTTACTGTCACTCGTAACTATTTGTTGCAATACCACCACTTACTTCTGGAAAACATTAAGTAGAATGTAAAATTATATATATGTACATAACAAAAGTCATTTTATCCATATAGTACTCACTAAGCATATTATTTGCACTTAGACAAAAAAAAAATAAAAAAGATGAATAGTCTTTAAAGGTTTTAGCTTGTTGCAAAAATTACTGTTTCCAAAAAATGTAAATTCTGAGTACAAACGTCGACAACCAAATTATGTGTGAATTGTAGTGGATTCTAATATTAAACTGTAATAGTTGTCGGGCTTGCTTATTTCCACTTTGACATAAACTTTCGTCGTTGAATCCTATAGAAGAGTTTATAGAAGCAGTTTCTAGTTTACAGAAGAGCCTTGAATATTAAGAGCTTCACCGTGCGAAGCTTTTATGCGTAGCTTTCAGACAGCTTTCAGCTTACAGGGAGCTGAGATAATAACCCTATCAAATGTATTCTGTGTTTTATTTTGTTTGTTTATAGTCAAGCGACACTTCGACTAGTCAGCCGAGCGTAGTTTCGTGAATGAGTAAGTTATACCGCATTGTGATCAGCCTCAAGGATGTTATCCCCTATTTCATGCCCGGGAGCGAAGAAGGGGATTCCCGCCCCATCTCGTATACGACCGCCTACCTCCGTTTCGAGTACGGGTGGCCAACCAGCTTCAGCAGCGGTGGCCCGGAGCACAAGTTCGGCAAGTCTCGGGTGTGAAGCCATTTCCCGTTCGCTGTCAAACGCTTCCTCCGCGTCCAATCTCGCATCGGAGACTGAGGCGGAGAGGGGGCCAGCCGCAGCGTGCAGCGCCGGTGACACGAACGCCACAGTCATCAACCACCATCAACAATTATTAGATGCAGCAACGGCATCTGACTCAATCAGTGAGTAAAGTCAGAATGTCACAGTATACAGAAATATTAGAGTGGTATATAAGTTCGCCGTTTCTTCCGAATAATTTGATGGATTCGAAATGGCTATTTGATCAAGTTCTTGCAGAGGGGGCTCCACAATCATGGCCATACGTGGCCTCGCGTCGTCGTTGAGAAGGATCATTTTGTTATCTATCGGGTTTTTCCGTTCTATAACCTCCTTCACTCAATGCAGTCTTGGTCATCTACAGATCTGCGTTGAGCATCAGTGCTTCTCAAGCACTTTCCAAAGCAAACACCCGCTCGGTTTTGCAAGACACAAACTATCGTCTGCTTGATACAAAAATCTTGAATTCGGATGTATCTCCAGGAACCGCGCAATCCCAAAATGCGATTCTTGAATTTTGCAAATCAGTTATAGAGTCCTCGCTATAAACGGCACATATATACCAGGCTGTCCCAGCCATTGTTAGACCTCAGCAAGAGCAAGTTCGAGTAGATGTAGAAATGCACGTTCATTTAAGCATCCGTATTTTCAATCTTTGAAGCTCAACATGCGGCTTCCTATTCAGTGCACAATAAATTTAGAAACATATTGAGGAGACAGATAATTTTCGAATGGTATGGGAAAATACGTTTCTTTAAACGTCTCTAAACGTCTTTAAACGTTTCTTAATGCCCTTTTTTTCTTTAAAAAAAGGGCATTAAGAAAAAATTAACCGAATACACTTAAAAAGCAAAACCGTCATTTATATAAATATAGAGGTAATCTGCAAGTTAGTTAGCCAATTTATGACTTAAATATCCAGACTTTTATAAAGGTGCATATCCAATAACTTTATGATGAAATAAGAGAAATGAATGTTACCAACCAGTTTCGATGACAAGGGTTATATTCCGACTTGAATCACACTCGGATGTGCTTGCCACCCCGAAGTGCAGAAATCATCATCAAAATAACCTATATTTTGAAGTTTCATGACTTTTCGGCACTGAAGAAAGGTGGAAGGAGGCATTTATATTTTCTCTATCTCGACTGCCTTACAAATAACTACATGCTTATATTTGTCCACAGATATGTTCTACTTAGTTTAAAAAACTTACACAAGTATATTCGTAACATTCAGTCGATATGAATTTCGAATTCTGCGTATTGGGGTGAGGTCTAGAATTGAAGTTGTAATCGTTCTAAATGATAGTTTAATAACCGTAAGAAACGACAACTTCACTTATTCGCATCGCGCTTTTACACGCAGTATTTATTCATACATTAATGTATTTCGTCTGTTACAGTCAAATATTTATACGGTTGTTTAGTATTAAGCGTGACCGTTCAAATTTTCCAAGCTTCTTCCATAAGCTTCGTCCTCATATTTCAATCAAAACATGCGCGTTTGTTCTCTATAGGTTTCTGCCATTTGAGTGGTAACCTATTTATTACGCTGCTATAGACGTTTAGGGGCATGAGAGTCTACGAAATCTCAAAAGGCTATTTTGAATTCTGTATTTAGATTTAAGTAATTTTCCTGCTAAGTTCTCGATCTGAAAAAATACTGATCCGTGAGAGGAGTACTTGGCAAATGTGGAGTATGATAGAGAGCTTTCAACTGTAACTTCTGTGTTTTTGTCACCGTGATCCTTGTGGTATAAGGTCGAGCGTTGTCGTGCAATACGAGTGGTTGGTATTTAACCACTGTTTTATCATCTCTCCCATTGTTCATTGTGCTTGAGGAAGACCCATGAAGTTGTTGTTGATAACATTTGCATTAGACCACTAAAAACGCCTAAGCTTTTGCAGCTGTACATCCGTCTTAAGATGCCACTTCTCTGGTTCAGTTGCGTCCACCAGCTAATGTAAGTGTCCGGAATTATCGGAGAGGAACCATTTTTTCGTTTTGTAAGATGTTACTACTCACTGCAAGGCTATCATGTTGTGTTGTGATGTGAAAAGAAAGAAAAAGAAGCGTCTTTTCGTTTGTTTTCGATTCCCGCTTCAATCATGCTCCACTTGGCCAATAATTTGACTGATGTAGACAGGTATGGTGTTCTTGCATACTTTAAGCCTGAGTGGTAATATATGTACACTTTGAAACGCGTCGACGGTTTTTAGCTTTTCGTCAGTAACCATCGTAAAAGACCTTTCACGAAACCCATTTTCGAGTTCGAAATGTTTGGCACTAACGGCTTAGGGTGTTTGTAGTAGCAAAATTTTCAGCGAATACAAGGTCAGTACGGCGAGGGACTTATATTCGTAAGAAATATTGAAATTTTCCGATATTCCATTGCTTACTGCAAACCGCCTGCAAAAAGCCAGAGATTTACAAGGGCACAGATGCATCAAATGTAAAAAACGTGTCGCAAATTATCGCACCATTATGAAACAGCGTCGTTGAAAATATCAGATTAATAGTTTCATAGTGAACAACTTATTGTGGTAGATGTCTGCCGATCGGATCCACTCCACTCCACTCCAGCCTACCCTAGATTTGGTGTTCGAGGATAGACTATATGTACAAGCATGATGTATGTGTGAAAAAAGTGCCTAACATTGTAAGTAAGCATTTCGTGAATATATGCTTGGAACAGTTACTTCGGAGGTAATCAATGATATAATACACGTTATAATGTATGCACAGTGTATACGGAACGATATAAAATGTCCGACGCGAAATTATTACTATCACTACAACTATTAAGATAGGTAACCTTCGCTTTAATTTAGTAAATCGTTATATATATACACTATGGCAGATACGATATTATTATAGTAAAGATACCTTTGAGTTAGGTGAATCTGTCCAAACTACTTGCAATCATTGATTATTTAGGACATCCACGACATTTCTTATAAGCAAAAAAAAAAAATTGGGATGTCGATAACGGTGGAATATTTTTTATGATCATAAACGGCTGATTTCTCTCAATTTTCAAGAAAATATTAAATTCATTTGAGCTTTTTTGGACAATAAGACATATTTCTTAGTTTGATATATATATTTGTATACACAGTTCACTCGTTACGGATAATAGGAAACTAGTCACAATTGCGTCCTGGATGTCAGTGAAATTTGATTTGACACTGCGTTATTTCAACGTTCACGTCAAAGGTCTATTTAACTTTGTCTCATAATGAGTATGTCCGCGGCAAACATCATAAACCAAAACGAAGGTATCACTATAATTGGTAATCTCCTGTTCATCCTAGCAACATTGTGGCTAACGGATGTGAATCCATAGCTACTTACGACAGATGTATTTGTTGTCTATTCTGTGGCTTACATGAGTTGAGCATACAGTAACAACAAACGTGTTCATTATTCCTGAGCTGTGTGAACGAGGAGAGGACACTCATACTACACTTCAGGTGGATTCAATTATTTGTCGATGGGCCATACCGTCTATAGCACAATTCCCGTGGAAGTTAAGAAAACACCAAAACAAATAGAATGGGCGAGCCCGGTCGAACTATCACTTCTGTCTTACAGATAATACCGAAGTAGGCGGTGACGAAACGGCGGTGTGGAACACTAAATGAATCAACTATTCGGAGACGTAATCTCAACAATAAGAGCAGAACAGTTTTGTATTTAGAAACTAAAGTCGAAGGACAACGTGATGACGATGAATCTTTCATACTTGAACGACAGAACCGTCTTGCGCGAAGACCCACACAAAACGAAGCTGTATTAACGATGATGCTGTTCTCTGCAGCTCCGTTTGCGGATATCTATCCTTAATAATAGCGTCTATCTATTTAGAGAACGATTGCATGCAGTACATTTGTGCGCAGCGACTGAAGTCAATATTCTGGGTTAAAACTTTCTAGATTCCATTGATTTCCTGCTAAGCTACTTATATTTTTTAATTTGAGTATTCCTCAGTAGTTTTTATCTCAAAGTACTACCGTTCATTAAGTGTGAACTTGAGCCTAAAGCACTTTTATATGTAGGTAGCAGGGTAAACACAGTTTAGCTGTAGCCATTCAGCTTCCCTTCATGTATAAATAAATAGGAGTTTAATATATATGCTAGCTTAAGTAAACAGATACGTATTTTTCTGAAAGTTGTATATAACATGTACATATCCAAGTCAATGTAAATAATTTGATGTACAGATGTTTCGTGAATTACTTGTCACAGACGCATATGAGGCTCACAAACGCTGCTTTCCATTTCTTCTATTATAAGTACTATAACGATTCAAACATGCTAATAATAATATCGTCTTTGCACTAACAAGTATTAAGCCATAAGCCGATATCAACGCCTTTGTTTGGATCGTTCGCTTTTCTCTCGCAGTGGTAGTGTGGGACTTGTCCGGTTTCCCTTAGGACATTATCCTACATTGATATGACTACCTAATAGCAGTATGGTGAACTAGCCGCAGCCTATTCCACAATAGCTGATGGATATAGCAGACGTTTTTGTTCGAACCAATGGGTCGATCCGCCGACCACCAACCGCCAAAAATGCGTACGCGGTCTGTCTGGCAATCGTGCAATGGCATCACAGCCTACTGCTAAGGACTACCCGGCTTCATCATTACATATATTACCATAAATACCGTAATAGTCTTAACTCGCTGAAGAAGGCAATAGCGACCTTATTTTGGCGCCACTGCTACTACAAGCTGCATCTGCGGCATTTGTTCCATCCTTCTTGTCCTTCTGGTCGATCCCGCTTGGGCCTACTACTATCACCGACTGCATCACATCGGTTGATCTTGGAACAGCCATTATGCAGTTCAGACTATTATTAGAGCAGTATGATTCTATTGTGGTCTTACCTGAGTATTATTGTCGGTTATATTTTGGTACCTACACTATATTGCGGCGGTAGTACGTGCTACTGACTTTGATTGCTGGTTCCCTCCTTTCCGGCCCTTTCACGGCTGCCGCTGTAGCCGACGATTGGCCTGTACCCATCCATAGCAGCAGTAGGCCGCTTCCACCGCCATCGCTAACTACTGCGGTTCATGGATCATCTGGTAAGATTCGATAAGACAAGTAAGAC